GTTCATCATCCTGTTGATTTAAATTTGCTCGTGCAGAATCCCTCTCCTGCTGCAGACGGCTCCTTTCGGCCTCCAACTGCTGGACTCGAGCCCGGAGTTCTTGAAGTTCCTCAGCCATCGCACCAGGAACGCTGATCCTCGTTCACAGGCGGAAATATCCAGCCAGGTCCCACGGTGTGCCTACTGTTGCACTATTATGCTCCCACACTCTAAGCGCTCCAAACAATGAATAAATACAGCAATAATGCTCTCTACTAAAGCACCACTACCACAGAACCAACACTATCGGTATCAGAAATGAATGTAAAAATATGTATACTATCTGTTCAAACAGCCAGATCCTGCCAACAACGCCAGAAAATTGTAACACGGGGGAAAGAACCCGGATTGTGACTGAGGACGTGGCCCTAAAGCCAACTGGTAGACTACTGAAATATCAAGTGGTCTAGAGTTTCCCAATTAATGATACCCAGGTAGGTCTGGCTGAGAATGAGGAAACAGAAATAGTATACAAAATATGTTTTATTTATACATTCTTTTACAATATTAAAAATAGACTTTATTATTCTAATTTAAAACGCAATAGGCTCAAAAACCCAGGACAAGACTAGAAGCAATTGGAACCAAACGAATGCAAACCAGATTAGTAGAAACACAAAATAACACAAAATAATGTTAGGAAAAAAAAACAAATCCCGCATTGCCCCAACCCCGTCCTAAGGCTGTGCCCAACACGCTAATAAAAATAAGGAGCTATGCTGTTCTGGTTCTGCACGGTTTGTGGTTCTGAATGGTTTGTGGGAGCATAATAGGCAACAGCAGCAGTCTGCAATACCAAAAGAAAACAATGACACATCTGCTGACAATAATAGACAGGTAGAGTAATGACATGAAAAATCCATTTATCCTACCAGTATTAAGTGTCCACGATCCGAACACTCACAGCAACCCGATGAGCACGGCGCCAGCGCTCATCTTACCTGAGAGCCAACTCAACTAACGGACCAAACAAACACACACAGATTGGCGTGCACACCCGGTGCCTATATACGCTTAATGAGCCCGACAAGGCTGTGAACGGAAGTGACGGTGGGGAACGGGGCCTAGATGTGTTCAAAGGCCCAAACCACGGTGGGAATTTACAACCACTAGATGTAAACTACATCTTCCAATAAAACCACCCGGTTACAAAACTAAGACACAAAAAGAGTGAAAATTAATGACAAATTGGGAAATAGGGTTCTACCAGGGCTTATTATACAGTATGTCGTGGTACCTTTAAGTTATTGTACTATTGAATTATCTTAGTGTGTTTTGTTTTTTCTTCTTGAAAATAGTGAGAGATTGAGAAATCTCTACTTGATACAAATTTATTATTCTTATTTTTTGCATGATCTATTGCTTTTAAAAGTATTTTATTTGTCAATCTCAGGCTCTGATTATCGACCATTAAACTCACGTCGTGTTCCAGGACCCGGTGAGTCTTTTTTTTTTTTTTTTGTCCTTCATTTTATATATAATTGATATTATTCATATGAAGCACCCCCTGGTAACTAACATACTGGCATAGGTATTGTAAATAATATTTGATTGAGCGATAATTAATTTTTTTAATTATTTTATTATGCCACAGAATATGAATCGCTGAACACCACTTATACTGGAATGCAAAGTAAGAACTACCCAAGTCTGTGGATATATATTTGATTAATTACAAAAAATGCTCATTGTACTGTGGTGGTACCACTAGATTTAAAGGTTTTCTTTTTCCCTTTACTAACTTGGACACAATAGAAATTGAAAAGTTTTGAGAATTTATTTGAATAGATATAGTAGACTATTATTACCAAATGTTAACGTTATTACCAAATGCTAATAATGTGCATTGCTTCCAGAAAGCAATGTACATTATTAAAGAAAATTGCAATACATAAGCTATGACTCAAATGAAAGTAGAGTATTTCTCTAAAAATCATGTGGTAAGTAAAGCGCTTAAATTAATGTCTTAAATATTATTTAAAGTATACTAGATTTCATGGTGCTGCTAAGTTAGTTTACTATTTTACTTTGAACGATTTGAATGTAACATTTTCTTTACTTCTTGGAAACAGTAAAACAAAATATTGAATATTCTTTAAATGATACCGATTCTTAATTTTTTGCATGATCTGTTAACTTTAAATTGTTTTATTTATTAAATTCAGGAGATACTTATCAACCATTAAAATCACTTCCTGTAAGACAAGGTAAGTTAATGGATTAATAGAATGGAAACCAATCAATGTCAAGTTTTACGCATAGGTTTAAAGACTTTTTAGCAATAATATCCTATCTATTTTCTTACATTTTAAGAATTTAAATTGTAAATTGTGTTAGGCAAGTTAATGACTAGGAGTTGTTTTTTTGTGTGGAAATAGTGTACAATTTGTATTTTTATTATTACTCTGCACTATTACTCAAAAGCATCACCTGGTAACTAAAATAAAAATGGCTATTGAAAGTAATATTTTAATGGTTGCTAATTTCGAGTCTTTGCTCTTGTTTTGCCAGCCATAGACTATGGATCAGTCCTCTTCCGGTCGAAATCAAAACACAGTAAGAACAAAACAAAATGCAGTGAGGACCTCTTAATCATAAAACTTGTTTGTTTGAGTTGGTTCCATGCCTGACATGAGAAACTAATGCCTTTTCTATTTTAGATTCACAGGAGTCTGATTCATATAGTGGCCTTTTGAGACGTAGCGGTAAGAGCAGAAAAAAACTCACTTTGAAGAGAATGTAGGTTTTTCTTTAATTATGTGTACTTCATGCGTATTTACAGATTTACAAGAAATTACAAAGCATTAACTTTTTGCAACAATGCATAGGACAAGACCAATTTGTCTCAGCAGCAAAACTTAAAGAAAAGACTACTGGAAGCCTCTACTATAGCGTCTATTCTATGCGTCTTATAATGCGGTGCGCCTTATATATGAAAAACGTTTTAAAATAGGCCATTCATTGAAGGTGACCTTATAATCTGATGCGCCTTATAGTGCGGAAAATACGGTACTCTAAAAATCATGTGGTAAGTAAAGCGCTTAAATTAATGTCTTAAATATTATTGAAAGTATACTAGATTTCATGGTGCTGCTAAGTTAGTTTACTATTTTACTTTGAACGATTTGAATGTAACATTTTCTTTACTTCTTGGAAACAGTAAAACAAAATATTGAATATTCTTTAAATGATACCGATTCTTAATTTTTTGCATGATCTGTTAACTTTAAATTGTTTTATTTATTAAACTCAGGAGATACTTTTCAGCCATTAAAATCACGTCCTGTAAGACAAGGTAAGTTAATGGATTAATAGAATGGAAACCAATCAATGTCAAGTTTTACGCATAGGTTTAAAGACTTTTTAGCAATAATATCCTATCTATTTTCTTACATTTTAAGAATTTCAATTGTAAATTGTGTTAGGCAAGTTAATGACTAGGAGTTGTTTTTTGTGTGAAAATAGTGTAGTTTTCATTTTTATTATTACTCTGCACTATTACTCAAAAGCATCACCTGGTAACTGAAATAAAAATGGGTATTGAATGTAATATTTTAATGGTTGCTAATTTCGAGTCTTTGCTCTTGTTTTGGCAAAGACTATGGATCAGTCCTCTTCCGGTCGAAATCAAAACACAGTAAGAACAAAACAAAATGCAGTGAGGACCTCTTAATCATAAAACTTGTTTGTTTGAGTTGGTTCCATGCCTGACATGAGAAACTAATGCCTTTTCTATTTTAGATTCACAGGAGTCTGATTCATATAGTGGCCTTTTGAGACGTAGCGGTAAGAGCAGAAAAAAACTCACTTTGAAGAGAATGTAGGTTTTTCTTTAATTATGTGTACT